CCCCAAAACCCCAAAACCCCAAAACCCCAAAACCCCAAAACCCCAAAACCCCTTATTGATCCCTTTAGATAGAATAGATTGGATCTGAATAATCCTATTTGATATTGGGGAAAGTTTGAAATTATTCCTTGATTAGCTCATCCTCAACTCTGGTGAGTTTAGCAGTTCCATTTGAGATAGAGTCAATAGTAGATTTGACCACCTTCATTTGCTTTCCTTCTTTAGTGTGATAAGTCTTGGAAGTTGGGAGGAAGGAAGTTCCATCAGTGTAACCCCACCAGTCCCAGCATCCATTTGGATTCTTCAAAATTTGTTTGGTGGCCTGAGGATACAAAATTACCATATCGTTTGTTTCAGCAACTTCGTTATATCCTGTATCAGTTTCGTATTTCTCTCCGATGTCAGCAGTGGTCTGTTGGCATCCATGGAAAACAACATGTAGTGAGCATCCAGCTTCAGCAGATTGACATTTCTCTGGGACATACAAGTAAGCTTGGCTTCCCATGATAGCACCACTAGCTCCGCTTTGAGTAACCTTGAAAAGATTGCTTGGGTTATAAGATCCTGGTTCATTGGTAACTTGATCTGGGTGAAGATGCTTCAAAGCTTCAAAGGCTCCATTATAATCACATTTACCAATGTAAGGGCTCTGAGTCGATCCACATGAAATTCCTTTGTCTACAGTTGGCATAGTGTGCCCAGCATTGAGGTCAAACTTTTCTTTGATGTCAGCATTGTATCCATTATAAAAATCAACTGTGGCGTGATTTACGTTAGGGTTTACAGTGCTATCTGCAGTTCCACTAAAAACAAAGACCTTAGAACCGGAAAGGTTAGATGGATCATCAACTTTTCCTTTGCTAGCTTGAGTTGAGATCTCTTGTTTGATACCAGCAAGATTAATACCTGTTCCAATTGACATGCATGTAGTTAATGCAGTAGCAACTTGCCCTTGAGCACAATAGAAAGGACCTCCAGCAAAAACACCAGCTCCTTTAATTGTAGCTGAATTTGCAACATGCATTTGAACAGCCATAAAGGCTCCTGACGAAAGTCCACTCACAGTGATGTCATCACTAATTCCTACTGTCACAGCAGCTGAAACGGCGAGGAAAATAGCCAAAATTGATACCAAAAGTTTCATATTTATAAATAAATATTATAAATAAATTCTCTGACGTGTATTTATAGTCATCCTTTACTTGGGGTTTTGGGGTTTTGGGGTTTTGGGGTTTTGGGG